GTGAGGGGGGTGTGGGGGGGTGTGCACACCTTTAATCCCAGCAGTCAGGAGGCAGAGCCAGGCAGATCTCTGTGAGTTCAAGGCAGGCTATACAAAGAAATAGTGTCTCAAAAAACAAAAAACAAAAAAGGAAGAAAAGAGAAAGAAACCACATTCTGTACAGAACATAACTTACTACAGAAATGGGGAGAAACAAAAGAGTGAGGTGTGGAGAACATGAACAAACCATGGAGGAAGGCGAGCTAAGAAACGGCTACAGAGAATTAAATGAAACCCCTAGTAAGCTGCATAGTATCAAAAAAAGTGGAAGAACTTCAACAAAGCACACAAATGCACTGAAGTCTGATGTGAAGGGCAACATGGAAGAAAACAGTAGGCCAGACACTTCCCACCTTCTCTTACTAACAGCGTACCATCTTATGCAGCAAATGCAGACAGCGCCAGGAGTCTGCCCTTGAAAGGGGAGTACAGCCTAAAGAAAGAGGTGACGGACAGGCCCCCCAACAGCAGAACATCAGCACAGACAGGGCTCAGGAATGAAGCAAGGGGAGAAGGAGAGAGGCAGAGAACAGAACCAAACTGACCTGAGTTCTGTTAAAAGCCACACGTGCAAACACTGCCTGGGAGATTCCCGCTCTTTTCAGTTCATCCCGCACCCACTGGTAGATTTCTGAAGAGACCTCCGTGTTTGTCGAAACCTGCTGCTCCAAAGGCTTATTCATAGACCTACTGACAGGGGGAGGGTGGTTCAAGTATTGTTGGTTTAAGGACTGCTGGGCTAAGAGTCTGTTCACTGCGTACTGCTGGTTCAGCAGCTGCGCCATCACCAGCTGCTGGTTGACCAGCTGAGGACTGATAGGTGTTGACACAAGCCCAGGGTGCAGGTTCGGAAGAGGGGTCCGGACAGAGGGCTGGCTGCCGTGGGAGAGCTGTGCAGGGGACGGAGGCTGCTCAGCTGTGTTCCCTGGGACCGGCTGCTGGCCAAAATTGACGTGGTTGGTGCCTTGCTGGGATAGTTCAGACAGACTATCCATTTCAACTAAAGTAGACAAAAAGAAAATCAAGCTCAGACAGCAATTAAGAAAATTTCTGACCATTTCCTAATATAAGAAATATAAAGAAAACAGCAAGCAAAGAGCACACTGAGGAGTAATGATGCCCAGACAATTCCAGGACACAATATACCGGCTGTGTTCTTCTCTAGAGACAATTCCACACACTCTGAGTACATGACACACTCCTGCTCTTGTTTTGAAAAGTAGCTTAGATTTAACACAATGGTTTTCAACCTGTAGGTCAAGACCTCTTTGGCAAACCTCTATCACCAAAATTATTTATATTACGATTCATAACAGTAGCAAAATTACAGTTATGAAGTAGCAACAAAAATAGTTTTATGGTTGGGGTCACCACCAATATGAGGAGCTGTATTAAAGGGTCGTAGCATTAGGAAGGTTGAAAACCACCAATTTAAGGCATAAAATCTACTATATACATATTTCATATGTTTGCTTTTGGGTCAAACTGCTTCTCAGTTACAAGCTCGAGAAAGCTTTCTAAGCAACAGCCGTTTCTTTTAAGATGGCTTCAAGAATATTGTTGGCTTAATGGCAATGAGAAACCGTGAGCTAACGTAGAAGCAAATAATAAACTATGATTTAAAAAACGACTAGAGAAAAAAATTATAAATAGTTTCGTATTATATCAACTCTAGCAATCCCAGCAAAAGTAGGAAGTAGTTTACATAATAGGATGTACTGAGGTGGGTATAACAGCTGGCTGTCACTCTTGGTGTCACATGTGGTTTGCTTCATGTAAGGCCAATCACGGACACATAAGGACATCAGCAAATACTTCTCAGGATAAAGCAAAGGCGAAGGGTAGAGCAAGTCAGCACAGCCCGTGTGGCTGCGGCTCCAATGTCTGTAATAGAAGTGTGGTTCTCACCAGATGCTAAGGACAGGGCAGAAAGCTGCCCTAGCACAATGGGGACGCTGTCACGACTCTGCAGTCCATTTCCACCTACCCAGAATGAACACTTGTGTGGACGGGCTGAGAGTCAGCTCCAAGTGTGTCAAATGCTGTGCTGCTACACAGGAGAGACTCGAGGGAGACTGAACCCAGCGTGTAATATGGACAGGGAAGCCTTTTCAAATGTCCACACTTCTCATGTACAGGATCTATCTGGATCTTAATCATTGTTTCTCTTTTCATTAAATATGCAGATTTTTATAATCAGAGGAACTGCTATACTCCATGATATATGCAGAATATAACTAAGAATGGGAAGTTTCTACCAGTTTCTACCAGTGATATCAGCCCAGTGGGCCATTCACATGGAACAGTAATTCAAGCAATTATTCCAAAAATTGATGCATTGCCTTCATTACAGCCCTAAGCTATAAAAGGCAAAGAATCCGTTTTGGTAGATGGATGGCCTTTCTTCAAATATTAAAAGCTAAAACATGCTCAAAATTCGGGTCTCTTGTCTCTAAGTCTTTAGGAAAAATTATTATTGTTGTTACTATTAAATGAACTGAATGGTGATAAACAAAGATTTACAATAAGGCATACCGCCTTGTATATGAAACACCCCACTGCTGTTTAATTTTAGGATGCATCATTTGGAAGGTACAGTATGTGAAAGAAGAAGGTACATTAACCTTATCCATAGTGTTTGCTCCCATGAGCACTAACTGATTCACAAAGAGAAAATGCCAAACTCCAAACACTCAGCCACAGCATGCAACCGTGACCTGTCCTTTTACACCTCAGCTCATCTTGATGCATGTCTTATGTAACAAATGTTGACCTAATGCAGCAAGTTCAGAGATGGCGCTGGGCTGGAACTGAAAGTTCAGTAATGACAGTGTTGGTTCTGTTCCAGATAGGAAGGCATTGGGCTCACTAAGGCGCCTATCTATGGAGCCTGGAGAATAAAAACCACTCCATCTCAATGGTAAAAAACCAAATCGTGTTCAGTAAGTCAAATACAGTAAAATATGGTTTAGAGGCTGGTGTGAAAACAAGTCCTTTCTCTTTTTTACAAACAAAAGCAAAAATCCTTAAAGCATGATTATCTCTGTGAGAAATCACAGCTGATATTAGTTATTCAAGGCCTGGTTAGGTCTTCACTGAGATGTTACAAAATGACAGCTCTCCTCCTCACGCCTCGATTTCCTGCATGTCTGACAACCGAGTCAGTGTGGCTGATTTAAACACAAACATTTATTGAATTTAATTATCTCATTATACTCATACCCACTCCCCCACCCCCAAAGAAACATTCTAAATTGATCTCTAATTGGGCAATCAAAGATCTGGCTTTCGATGTGACTTTGATAAACCCCCAAATGACATGCAATGGTATGTCGCCACAGCAGAGGGATGGGCTTTCCTTTTTTTTTTCTTTTTGCTTACCCATCATATCCTTTGTCTTCTTGAAATGTTTGTACCACCTTCCAAATTCTTGACATTTTGCTGCTGAGACATTTGCATAGTACGTGCTGTTCACAATGGAGGAGATCATACTCTGTGTGGAGAGGAGAGAACATGTATGATACACCATGGCACAAGGTGGGGGGCCCACAACTTCAGCTGTGGGAAGCTGTACCTGCTCTCAGTTTTTCTAAAACAACTGGGACCAAAACTTCAGCTTCTTAGACTCCATTAAGTAGATCACCAGACGCTTATTTAAGTAGCAAGTGGCAGCCTCCACAGTGGCATCTGCTCTAGCACTCTTTATCCAGTCTTTATCCACACCATCTATTCCTCACAAATGTGCACTAACCCCAATTAATCCAAACCCACAGATGATGTGAGGGTTGAACTATATAAAGGTAGGGTATTTCGCAGCATGGTGATTGAATCCGACATGTTTGCTACTTGAAGCATAGTCCAGGCACCAGAGCCATAGACACTCCTGGAAGCTTGTCTGAAATGTAGTTTGGAGCCCTAGCTCTGACCTCCCTCATCAACACCTGCATCTCACCAACACCCCCAGCACAACCAGGCACTATCAAGTAGGAGAAATCACTTTTACATTTTCATGTTCACTGTATGGATTCCAGTTGCTGGTGAGGTAACAGTGCTCAGAGGTCACGCTTAAGAGCCTCTCTCAGAAGACGAGCATCTTCAGATTTGATTGCTGGCTTTATCTAGTAAAGCTTGAGTTGTGAATTTCAAATGACCAGAAAATGTTTCAATATATACATTTTGTGCTAATTAACATTTTAAAAGTCCCATCCACAAAAAAAAGAAAGAAAAAGAAAAAGAAATAAATGTCTACTTGTCATTTTTCTCTTGCTTAAAAAAAAAGCCTTGAAGAGCTGGTCATAGTGGTGTTCACCTTTAATTCCAGCACTTGGGATGCACAGACAGGCGGATCTCTGTGACTCCTAGGGCAACCTGAACTTGTAAGTTCCAGTCCAGCTCAGACTACATAGTGAGACCCTGACTCAAACAAACAAAAAAACATTGACAATAGCCAGCCATCTAATAGGTAAAAATGGAGACAATGATGTTAATGTGCCACTAAGGTTTAAAATAAAAAACACAGCCACATTTTCAATAAACAAAAGCATATTTTCCCAGATACTTTTGGTTACAGTAATTGCTGTGACTTCATTCCTGGTTCACCCATAGTGTCTAGTAGCTAAATTAACCCCCTATTGAATCTTCGGAGTGAGACTGAAGCACCAGGTCTCCTGGTCCCGAGAGTAGAAACCACGAGCTTAAATTTCAGACCTGGTTGGTCTCCAGAGAAACAGCTTACAGAAGACTCCATTGTTGGGAGGCAGCGAACAACCAGAAAAGCCAGTTTGGGGACAAGAATATTTTTATATCATTATCTTCTTTAAGCTACTTCAAATGTAAAGCTCTTTGGGCTATTATTAACTCTGACATCCATCATCATGTTAATTTAGGAGCACACACATTCCTATAATGTATAAGTTTGGGGGTCCGCTAAAGAACTGGGAGTCAGAGGTGCATTATTTATGTAAAACACAGCTCTCTCTCCAATGAGGCACTATGATAGCTTCCCCCCCACACACACACTTTCTACTTTATAGTCATTTTTACATTTTATTTCTCTAAAAAGACATTCTTAATGTGTTCGTGAAGCCCTGCCATTAATCCAATAGCTTGCAATTTCACTAAGAGCCTCCCCAGTCCACAGTGCAAAAAGACACTTAGCAAGTTGCCAAAACCAGAGCCAGAGGACAACTATCTGACACAGTTAGCAACCCACCGGCTTCCTTACTCCACCGTACTAATGGATCAATAATGCCAGACTCTAATAAAACTACAGAGATCACTGATAGATAATGGTGATTCTGCAGATGGATGACAGCTGATGTTCTCCCACTCTGGCCCAATTTCTAAAAAAATGATTAGTTTTTACCTAGACATTCTGCCACTTTCGTGTGTTAATACAACACAGCATGGAAGGTCCTACTTTTAGAAACAAACAGGCTCCCTAAATTCTGCAGAGGTTTTCAATAAATACCCAGTTTACTTCATCTCCTTCATTCGATATATTATTTGCTTATTGTGGCACTGGCTGGTGTGAAGGACACAAAGATGGGTAAGACACAGCCTTGGCCCGAAGTGTTTGTCATCTATCAGGAAGCAGGTGAAATGACCCAGATCACTTCCATATAATGTGCCTCTTTGACCCACGGTGAGAGCAAAGGGGGAACGAAAATGTAAACCGTTCTGAAATACTTCAATAAAATGAGAGCTCATGTGTCAAAGTGCTGCGCAGTTCATTATCATCCGTATGTGGAAAACAACGTCCATATGTGCCCTGTCATCCAAGTTTCCACCGCCCCTGCTTAACCCTAATCTGTGGGCTATGTCCTAAAGTGATTTTACTGTTCCTCCTTCACTTCCTTATTTATTATATGATGATGCAGATCTGTCAAAGATGTTTTCAATGGGGCCACTGAGATGGCAGAGTGGCAGAAGGGCCTGCTCAGCCCGATTCCATGAGTTCAATCCTCAGGATTTACAGAGTAGAGAACTGACTCCCATACATTGTCCTCTGACCTCCTCACACACCCTCTGACGCACAAACATGTACGCACCCATGTGCAAACGCCAGAAAATTAGGATGCTTTAAATAACAGAAGAGTAACTGATATAATTTTCAAAATGAGGTCTTTTTGTGTCTATGTGGGTGTGTGGAAACCAGAGGTTAATGTCAGAGTCTTTCCTAGTCCCTCTCCTCCGTACTGTCAGAGACAGCCTCTCCCTAAGTCTGGAGCTTATGGATTCAGCGACTAGCTGGCCAGTTACAGGGCTCCTCTTGTTCCCTCTCTTCAGTACTGGAATTACAAGCTGCTACTCAAGGCTCTTTATGTATGTGCAGGGTTCCATCTCCAGTCTTCACGCTTGTGCAACAAGCACACTACCAATGGAGACATCCCCCTGTCGCCGCAGAGATTTGCACTAATTAAATGTAGCAGTAAGTCAAGGACAACAAGGGCAGACAGCAAAGGAACACCTTCCCATTTCTTTCAACATCTCAGCTCAGTGAAGCTGGGCTGCATCTCACGCGAGCATCAGAAGACACACCCACTCCTCACACCTGGAGGTAGTCCCATGGCGCCTCCACCTCTGCCTACGAGCTGCTCATCCTTCGGCTCCACGGCTCTGATTCTGCCAGGCTTTCCCGAGTTAAAGCACGCTGGGCCACTGCAGCCAGCACTTCCTACACTGAGCATTTCTTCTAGACTTAATCTCAAAACAGCCTGGATGCTCAGCACAAGGCTGAACACACCTAGTCACGCCAGAAGGCCACTGAAAGAAGCCACTCCTTTGGGTCACTGGGACATTCTCCTCTTCTTTACCCTTCAAGGTCAAAGGCAACAGCATTATTGTCAAGTGAATCTTTAAATCCCAACTTCTTAGCTACAAGAGCCTTTGTTCAATAATTTGCAACCCCACAGATGTCTCCAAAGAGGCTGCTGGTGGTTGCTGCTCTGCTCCCTTGGTATCTATTTATATGAGTGCTCTGAAAGACACAATTCCTGTGGCAAGTTTTCTAGTCAGTCTGTGGCCACTAGTGTAAAAACCATCAACGCTCTGGGAGTCAATTAATCCCACTGACTAATCTCTGCTGCTAGAAATTGTGAGTTCAAATGCTGCCACAGGGCACACCAACCAAAACACAGGCCGAGGAGCCCAGTGTTGGGAGACACAATTTAAGAGCCGGCAGAAACTGGCCATGGGTCTCCTAACCCGTGTGACATAATATTCTCATCCTAGGAGCCAAGTTGTAAGCTTTTCTAAGATCCATAAAGCACATGTCTACTCCCTATGAGGAGCTTGGCTCTTTCCGAGTCTGCTAAAGTTCCGATCTGTTTCCATCTTCCCAGAAACCCCAGCCCTCTAGAAGGATACCATCTGCCACAGGCTGAGCCTCCTTTTCAGCCAAATACATTATTTATAACCTTTCTAATTGTGAAAAGGTAAGGGTGGAATTTTTCTAAAGCCTGACTTACATATTGTTGGAACATTCTGAACCTTTGCTCGAAAATCTGCAGGTCTCTCAATGTGAAAAACAGAAAAACCCAAGGAATTGGTTGAGGTTACATAATTTTCCCAAATGCTCCCTTCCAAGCCCTGATAGGGGTTCGCACACACTGTGGTTAGTGTGTGTGTGTAACACACTGGAAAATCAAGGAAGGTGGCTTGACTGTTCAGCGTGGTCATCTTATTGGCCAACAGGACTGGTTGGGGAGAAGTGCAGCCTTCTCAAGAACAAGATTGTCAACCAAGAAGCATCCCAGCAGTGATCTGATTACCCTTAAAATTGCTTTGTTGTGCCTTTAACACCCCCCCTCAAAAAAAATACCCCCAAACAATGCTAATCAGGTTATTCAATCATTTAAACCAAAACTGTTCATGCTTTTCTGCCAAATCAACCAACCACAGCAAAATCTGTTATCTCTGATTGCTCAGCTTCCAGTCAAAAAAAAACCAGTTAACCCCCACTATTCCAAAAGTTTTCCAAAACACCCAGAAGCAGGGCAAGCTAGGGAGGAGGAGGAGGAGGCCAGGCCCTTTTTAAAGGGGTAGGCAGCTGCTCGGCATTTGCATGTGACAATACACTCCTAGACCTGGGGCACCTAATGTCCCTGGTGTCTCTGAAGTCCCCGTGCTGGCCTTCTGCTGGACTGCGAGGTCAGGAGCATGGCTGGCTTGGGACTTGGGTCTGGGCTACCTGAGGTGGGAGGACAGAGAGGCAGCGTCTACAAAATGGTGGCTCACCCATGTTGAAAGCTTGCAGGCTCCTCCAGCAGAGAGGGCAAGGGCTACCACATCTTATTTACACAATTATCTAAATACGATTAAACAGCTGATGGACAAATATTAAACTGGAAAATGTATAGTCATTTCAGCTTAATGTAATCCTCTTTCTGTAAACACCCAAGATGATTTTTTTTTCCAACCAGAACAGTCCTGACATCTCATAAGCCTAAGGGTGAATAGCAAGAGATTGTTTTTGATAGTTATAAATATTCA